TGTAGTTGAACCATCTCTCCGATTGCGCAAAGTCGGAGGAACGTTTGGTTATTGAAAGGAGACTGCGACCACACCAGAGGTGACAACATCTTGGTCTTCATATCTTGTCGGTAGACCTTGATATCCCAAGACTGACGTTAGGTTACATTGCAATTATTCGCTTCTATAATTGATCTCACTTACACACGTACAGACACAACGAGGCGCACAAACAGGCCATTCTACGAAAGATAATCTCAAAAACTTGATGACTTTGTTGGGAAATTTAGTAGATATGGTCAGACTGGTTGGTTTCACCTCAACGCCGAATCACTAGCAGATTTATTCGAGTACTTGATTGCCATTTTAGTATTTCTACTTGGTAAATATAACGCAAGCTTCATTCATGCATTATGAGTAAAGTGAAAAATATGGATGCAAACACTTTTATTTCGCATGCAAGAATATAAAGAAGAGATTCGCGGGTCAATCTCACCAGAAGACGTTGTACTGCAACGACGTTTCGAGCGAAGACGGACTGAGCTTTCGTTCGACATGCCACATGACGAGCATCGTCAGAGCTGGAACTCATTCTTGTCAAAGTCTCAAGTTAAAACTGGAGCAAGAAGACTATCCGGTTTGTTGTTATATGAAATATAAATTCATTCCGAGCAAAATTCAAGATGTAAATGCATATAGAAAGGTCTAGTTTATTCACATATACTCGAGAGTGTATGTGTGCCTGTACATGTTGACGCATGTACACAAAATACGACGCACTTTAAATCAACTAGTCAATCTCTATATTTACATATTTACCGACTAAATTAACCAGTAACCTAAAAAGCATTGAATTAATCGGGTGCCAATGTCATCAATTACATGAAATTTCCTTATTTTGCATCATAACTAATCAAGTATTTAATTACTTTTTAGTACACTCGGGCTCTTTATACTTTCGCCGTTACTTCATTGTCGAGGCAATCACATCGTCGGCCATTTCGTGGACTTTTTGCCCAAGTGGTTGGATCTTTCTGGTGGCACAGTTACTAAAATATTCACCAAAGCCCGTGGGGTATTGAATGTTCTTCAAATGTCCAGTTGCTTCGTCGAAGCTCACCTGCCCATCATTCATTCTATTTTACTGGATTTTGTGGCCAGCAGACCTGTACGTCATTCTTTCTCCAACCGCCAAATGCCACATTGTCGACGTAACTGTGGCAACAGTGATTTGGTGGAACAATGAAGGCTCACCTGAAATGTGGGCGCCAGTCTCCGATGGTCCCCGGAGGAGACGGTGGGCGCGGCGAGGCTCCAGACGGACGTGGCGATGTTGTGCAGCAGCCTAAGATCGCCCAGCAACTGAGCGATCCTGGCGGCACGATGGAGGCGGATCAAAGCGAGGCTGGAGAGCTGTGTCAGCCAGCGACTGAAAACGACAAAAAGAGGAGTTGGTGAGAAATCTAGCGTCCCTTCAGGTGGGCGCATGAAGAGAAACAGAAAGAAAGGAATAGAGAGAGGGAAAACCAAATTACTCTGGTCGGTGGTTCAACAACAGGCCCCGATTGGTGAAAAAGTAAACGTGAATTTTTCGTTTTCGAGACTACTACTAGTAAATCAGTAATATGAGATGTATTCACCCTATTTCGTTTAAGGTGATCGAGGGCTGGTAGTTCATTTTTTCCACAATCTGATCAGTAGAGCTGATGTTTTCATTCAATTTCACATTGCCTTGCTTTCCAAAAAGTCGTTCTCATGTCGGCTAAGGTGGACTGCAGTTTCGACCTCGCCTCGGTCTTATCAACACCCCCAGCGGGACTCGAACCGTGACGATGCAGAATGGGAGTTTGACACGCTAACCACTAAACCACATTGCCACGAGTGCCTTTTTGTGACAGAAAAAGTGTGAATTTCAAGGAAGGCCAGGCCTTTTTTTCATATCACATTCTTTAGTGGGATTATCGATGAAACAAACGTATATTTGCTATAATATTCGACTAAGTTACTTATTTTTCGTAAGTGAGTAGAGTTTCGAGGCTAACAGTAAATCAGTAATCATTCTCGAAACTCTACTTACATACGAAAAATAATTAACTTAATCGATTTTTATAGCAAATATACGTTTGCTTCATCGACAATCCCACAAAAAAACAATATAATATGACAAAAAGCCTAGCCTTCCTTGAAATTCACATTTGCTCTGTGACTCAAAGGCACTCGGGTTAATGTAGCCGATTGGTTAACGTGTCAAACTCTCCTTCTGCATTGTCACGGTTCGACTCCCGCGGGGTCGAGGTCGAAACTGCAGTCCACCCTAGCCGGGATGAGAACAACTTTTGGGAAAGCAAGGCTATGTGAAAT